GTTTTGGGCCCTCTCTGGCAAACGCATGTGCCTCTCCATCGGATTTTTTCAGAGCCTCTTGCAACCGCTTTGCGATTTGCCAATCGTTCCTCCTCGTTTTCATCCCCCTTCGACGGTCGCGGCGGCGGCGGGGGCTGCGTCGGCAGGGGCCCCGCAGGTCGACGCCATGGCCGCGTTCGCCTCCATGCAGGCCTGCGCGCCGGGGCCCGTCGTGGCCGGGCTGCCGATCGGGGCGCTGGGCGCAGCGCGGCCGGCGCAGCCCCAGGTCGTCGTCTTCGTCGTCGTCGTCGTCTTCGTCGTCGTCGACGGTGGTTGTCGCTGCCACTGCCGCCGTCGCCGGTCGCCAGACGCTGGTCGGTCGCCGCGGCCGAACCAACCGCCGCCGCCGTCGTCGGTGGTCATCGCCGTCGGTCGTCGTCGTCGTCGTCGTCGGTGGTCGTCGGTGGTCGTCGGTCGTCGGGCGTCGGTCGTCGTCGGTCGTCGTCGTCGTCGTCGCCGTTGTCACCGCCGTCGTCGTCGTCGCCGTCGCCGTCGTCGCAGTCGTCGTAGTCGTCGTAGTCGTTGTCGTCGTCGTCGTCGTCGTCGGTCGTCGTTTTCGTCGTTGTCGTCGTCTGTCGTCGTCGTCCGTCGTCGTCGTCGTCATCGTTGTCGTCGTCGCTTGTCGTTGGATGCCGTTGGTCGGTAGTCGTCTCTCGCCGCCGCTGCTTCCGCTGTCGTAAGTACTGTCGGTCGTGGCCGTCAGTCTTTGAGTTCGTCGCCTTCGCCCTTCTCGGAGGGGGAAGAGGCGAAGGTAAGAGGGGTGGGAAGCTGGGAGAGGAGGGGGAGGAGGACGACGAGGAGGAGTGGGGCAGAAGCAGGAGGACAAGGATCGCCTCCTCCCTATCCTCCCTGCCTCTCCTCCTGGATCCTCGCTCCCTCCTCGGCATCTGCTTTTCTCTGTGCCATCTTACATTTGACGTCGCTTGTTTCCTCTCCCTTCATCTCTATCTCTCGCTCTCTCTATGTGTATATAAGTATATATATATCGCTCTCTCTCCTCTCTCCCTCTTTCTCTCTCCCTGCGTGTCCCTCTATCGATCACTCATGCCCTCCAGAGGTGTACCCTCCGGTCTTCCTCCCTCCTCTTACTGTCCCCTCGTGCATCTCCGTCGCTGCACCCCTCCGCACGCCCACGCCCCGGGCGCCTCTCGGCAGCTGGCCGTTCAGGCGGACCCGTCGCTCCTCATACTGAGCACGTCCCCGCAGGCCAGCCTCTTCTGTGTTGTTGGTGCTGGAGGGACGGTGAGGAGGGCGGGAACAACGGATACAGCGACCAACAGCGGTTCTTGTTCATTCTGAGCAGGATTCACTGTCGGCGTCGCCGCGGTCGTGGCGGTCTATTGGAGACACAAGCTCGCCTGTCCAACAGCGGCCGCTGTCGGTTTTTGGGCAGCAGGTGTTGTGACGAGCATTGTGCCCAGTTTTTGCCGTACCTACGTCGGGCGTCCACAGATGAGGGAAAGAGGCCGATGCAGTTGCTCGTCCTGGAGAGCCCTCGTCGCCACCGTTGGCCTTCGTCGGAGTGATCTCTGGTGCGGGCTCAGTGGGGTCCCCCGATCGCCGACCGCGCTGCGGCGGCAACGTCTGGCGCGCAGTTGTTGCAGAGTTCGCGTGCTTTTTTAGGAAGCACCTACCCTCCGTCCTGCTGAGTGGGGTCACAGATGTCGTGCACTGCAGCCGCTTTGACTTTAGTTATACTTGTGCCTCCAGGGGGAACAACAAGGTCGCTATTACCCAGGGCCGCTTTTGCATGTAGCCGACGGTACGGTAGAGGGAACCAATTAGTGAACACCCTCCCTGCCCCCCAAATTCAAAGTTGGCACGCGCGGGGGAGATTGCGGTCGAGGTGCAACTCATCAAACCCACCGCCAACTTTGAACATGGGGGGGAGGGCGAGGCGTTCACAGGTGAATGTGGCATGAGTGTTCGTTTTTACTTAACAGCGAAGACTGAAAGGTTTCTAGTAGGGTCAAAAGAATGCATCATGACTCCCCAGGGGGGTCTGGGCGGGATCCGGACAGGGTGCCCCAGGAATCCGGGGACTCTTTTTTTAGCAAACAGTAACGCACTTCGTGGTCTTCGAGTTCCCGGAACTCCATTCCTGGGCATGATTCTGAATGCCCGGAGCCAACTGTAGGCCACTTCGTGTTCTTCGAGTTCCTAGAACTCCATTCTTGGGCATGATTTTGAATGCCCGGAGCCAACTGTAGGCCACTTCGTGGTCTTCGAGTTCCCAGAACTCCAATCCTGGGCATGATTTTGAATGCCCGGAGCCAACTGTAGGCCATTTCGTGGTCTTCGAGTTCCCAGATTTCCATTCCTGGGCATGATTTTGAATGCCCGGAGCCAACTGTAGGCCACTTCGTGTTCTTCGAGTTCCCAGAACTCCATTCCCGGGCCACATTTTGAATGCTGAGGCAGGCTGATGCCTGAGGAGGCTGAGGCAGGCTGAGGCTGAGGCAGGCTGAGGCTGAGGCTGAAGCAGGCTGAGGCTGAGGCTGAGGCAGGCTGAGGCTGAGGCTGAGGCAGGCTGATGCTGAGGCAGGCTGAGGCTGAGGCTGAGGTTGATGCAGGCTGAGGCTGAGGCAGGCTGAGGCTGAGGCCGAGGCTGAAGGCAGACCGAGGCTGAGGCTGAAGCAGGCTGAGGCTGAGGCAGAGGCAGGCTGAGGCTGAGGCTGAGGCAGGCTGATGCTGAGGCAGGCTGAGGCTGAGGCTGAGGCTGATGCAGGCTGAGGCTGAGGCAGGCTGAGGCTGAGGCCGAGGCTGAAGGCAGACTGAGGCTGAGGCTGAAGCAGGCTGAGGCTGAGGCTGAGGCAGGCTGAGGCAGGCTGAGGCTGAGGCTGAGGCAGGCTGATGCTGAGGCAGGCTGAGGCTGAGGCTGAGGCTGATGCAGGCTGAGGCTGAGGCAGGCTGAGGCTGAGGCCGAGGCTGAAGGCAGACTGAGGCTGAGGCTGAAGCAGAGGCTGAGGCTGAGGCTGAGGCAGGCTGAGGCTGAGGCTGAGGCAGGCTGATGCTGAGGCAGGCTGAGGCTGAGGCTGAGGCTGATGCAGGCTGAGGCTGAGGCAGGCTGAGGCTGAGGCCGAGGCTGAAGGCAGACTGAGGCTGAGGCTGAAGCAGGCGAGGCTGAGGCTGAGGCAGGCTGAGGCTGAGGCTGAGGCAGGCTGATGCTGAGGCAGGCTGAGGCTGAGGCTGAGGCTGATGCAGGCTGAGGCTGAGGCAGGCTGAGGCTGAGGCCGAGGCTGAAGGCAGACTGAGGCTGAGGCTGAAGCAGGCTGAGGCTGAGGCTGAGGCAGGCTGAGGCTGAGGCTGAGCAGGCTGATGCTGAGGCAGGCTGAGGCTGAGGCTGAGGCTGATGCAGGCTGAGGCTGAGGCAGGCTGAGGCTGAGGCCGAGGCTGAAGGCAGACTGAGGCTGAGGCTGAAGCAGGCTGAGGCTGAGGCTGAGGCAGGCTGAGGCTGAGGCTGAGGCAGGCTGATGCTGAGGCAGGCTGAGGCTGAGGCTGAGGCTGATGCAGGCTGAGGCTGAGGCAGGCTGAGGCTGAGGCCGAGGCTGAAGGCAGACTGATGCTGAGGCTGAAGCAGGCTGAGGCTGAGGCTGAGGCAGGCTGAGGCTGAGGCAGGCTGAGGCTGAGGCTGAGGCAGGCTGAGGCTGAAGGCTGTGACTGCGACTGCCGTTGCCACTGCGACTGTCATCGCGAATGCGACTACGACTGCGAGAACAGCAGAATTCTACAACTGGATTCTCATCTGAATCTTAAGGGGAATGCTTCCAGATATGCTCCTACACATCGCTGTTAGGTTGCTTTGCCGGGATAACTTTTTTCCGAGAGGCCTGTAGCGGTATCTGTTTCTCCCCCGCCCCGGCCGTGGTTCGCCGCCGCCCGGCCTCTTGCCACCAGCGGCGCGCAGAGGGTGGAGCGGAGCCGGGGGCGGGCGGCCTCCACGGGGGGCCACGCGCCTGTCCAGATGCCCCGTGCCCTCCGAGCGGCTTCCTCGGGCGCATCTGCCTCTGAGGGGCTCTGGTGCCTTCTACAGGCCTCGGACAAAAATAACGAGCACTCGTGCCACATGCATCCGTGAACGCCTCCCCCTCCCCCCAAATGTTCAAGGTTGGCGGTGGGTCTGATGAGTTGCACCTCGACCGCAGTCTCCCCCGCGCGTGCCAACTTTGAGTTTGGGGGGCAGGGGGGGTGTTCACCAAATGTTTCCCTCTACCGTACCCAGACCCCCTCGAGTCATGAACGAAAAAGTACGACGGGAGGCTTTTCGCTATTCTCGGGCCCCAGGGGCCCTTACTGGGCCTATCGGGACAGTCAACAGCAAAACTGCTCAGGACGAATAACCAGTCTTGGGCAATGGGTCGAGACCTGGGAGGGTCGACGTTGTATGAAACAATCGTCACGTCGGGAATCGGCGTAAGGAGCCTCCTCCGCCTTCTGAACAGCGTTCCGCCTTCAGCGTGCCTTCTGAGAAGCCTTTGGCAAGCCCTCTGAGGAGAACCCTCTCTGCCCTCTAGGCAACCCCACCCCCTCGCCCTGCCCCCATTTTGCGCTCCAGCTCGTGCTGGTGCTGGTGTCGCTCTTCTTCGCTCTTCGTCGCTCTTCGTCGTCATCGTCGTTGTCGCGTCGTTGTCGTCGTCGTCGTCGTCGTCGTCGTCGTCGTCGTCGTCGTCGTCGTCATTGTCGTCTGGTGCGCGGCCTACCGATCGCTGCGTGCGATGCGGCCAGTGGCGGGCCTCGTGCTCGGTCTTGGCATTCCCGCGCCTTTCCGCCGCGAGCCCCGCGGTCCCTCCGGCAACGGGGGGCGCTCGAGCCCAGCGGCCGGGGCACGCCTCCAGGACGACCCACCAAGCCACCCCAGCCCAGCCCGCAGTCGCCGTTAGGCCTGCCGATTTCCAGCCGGGGGTGGGGGCGCTCTGTAACATGAGGAAAAAAACTCGGAGGCCCGCGCGGATTTCTCGGATCCGCGCTTTTGACCCCCCTCCCTGGCGCGCGGAGCCAGCACCGGTCGACCGGGCTCGAGAGATGCCGCAAGAAGATGAAGCCGACCGCTCCGGTCGTGATTTCCGCAGGAAGGGCCCCAGTAAGGGCCCCAGTAAGGGCGAGGCCTGGTAAGGGGGCGCGAGCGTGGCGTAATTTACGAGGGATCGTGGCCTCCGGGGCGCGAACCTCGCGTATACATGATACGGGCGTGCATTCTATTTTCGGGGGCGGAAAAGAGGGGGGTGATGACTAAGGGGGGATGGATATCATGGCGGGGGCCATGATATCTCCCCAGATCTCGTGGCGCCTCTCCTTGTTTCATTACGTGCTTGGCCCCCCCGCTGGGCCGCGCACATGCCGCCGGTCATGATTTGCACCCCCCCCTCTTGGACACCCCCCTCTTGGCCGCTCCCGATATTTACACGTGTGTACGCGGGCGGTGTGCTCCCAAATTCCATGAATGTTGCGGACCCCTCGAGTACCAACACTCGCGGGGGCGATGGACACCATCGTCCTGGGGGCGGGGTAGCACGCATGCCTTGCATCATTGCTTTTGAGACGCGGCCGAGGAGGATGAGGAGGAAGTGCGTGGAAATTTGTGCAAGGAACAGTGCATAGGTTCTGGGTAGAGGCTAACGCTTTGATGTAAGCCTTCTCTTCGTTCCCCTCTCTCTCTCTCTCTCTTTATTTCTCCTCTCTCTCTCTCTCCCCCCCTTCCTCTCCGTCTCTTTTTGTCTCTCTTCTGTCTCTCTGCCATCTCTCCCTCTCTCTTTCTCGCTTCCTCTCTCCCCTCTCCTCCTTCCCCTTTCTCCCCCCCGCTCACGTTCGGGTCCACGCTCTGTCTGTCTGTCTCTCTCTCTCTCGCTCTTTGGGGGGGTTTTGGGGCGGGTGCCGAGGAGGGGCAGTCCCTGGCACCCGGGGGGCAGCCGGGCCCGCCAAGCCACGACGCCCAGCCCAACGCCAGAAGATTACAGGAGGGGGGGAAGTAGGAGCAGGAGCAGGAGCAGGAGGAGGAGGAAGAGGAGGAGGAGGAGGAGAGGATGATGATGAGGAGGAGGAGGAGGAGGAGGAGGAGCAGGATGAGGAGGAGGAGGAGGAGGAGGAGGAGGAAGAGGAGGAGGAGGAGGAGGAGGAGGAGGAGGAGGAGGAGGAGGAGGAGGGGGGGGGAGGGGTAGGGGGAGGAGGAGGAGAAGTAGGAGGAGGAGGAGGACGAGGAGGGAGGAGGAGGAGGACGAGGAGGAGGAGGAGGAAGAGGAGGAGGAGGAGGAGGAGGAGGAGGAGGAGGAGGAGGAGGAGGATTAGGAGCAGAAGGAGGAGGAGGAGGAGGAGAAGTAGGAGGAGGAGGAGGAGGAGGAGGAGGAGGGAGGAGGAGGAGGAGGGGAGGAGGAGGAGAGGAAGAGGAGGAGGAGGAGGAGGAGGAGGAGGAGCAGAGGAGGAGGAGGAGGAGGAGGAGGCGAGGAGGAGGAGGAGGAGGTGGAGGCGGAGGTGGAGAAGGAAGAAGAGCATGGCGGATTGCATGCCAGGGGCCGACCGGGCAAAGGGGGCATGAGAAGGGGGGGGTGGACAGGGGGACATTAGGGTGTCGTCGTTGGCCGTGGGAGTGGTGGTCGTGGCAGTGGTCGTGGTGGTCGCGGTCGTCGTGGCGGTGGTTTCTCTCTCTCTCTCCCTCCCTCCCTCCCTCTCCCTCTCTCTTTATGGACGGGGCTAGGACGAGGATAATCCGATCCCGAGCGTTCCGGAACGCTGTCAGAGCGTTCCGCGTTCCAGAAAGCTCTGAGAAGGCCGCGGCGCCCGATACATCCTCCAGAGCCGCCAGATCTCAGACATTTTCGATTTATCCTCACCCGATTTGATCCTTGTACTGGTTTCGTCTGATCTATCTGATGTCAGAGGGCCTTGCTCATCTGAGGATCCCCCCCGATATCTCGCCCAGCCTTTCGTCGAGCCCATGCCAAGCGGAGCAAAGGCATCTTGGCGGCGGGCGGGGCTGTCTCGAGACGCCCCGCGCACGCGAAGACACGCTCACTGCTCGTCTCTGAGTCCCCTCCGCATGCGAATTGCAGCTCGGGTGCCCTCGCAGGCTTTTTGCTGCCGTCTTCGAGTTCGCGGGCAGATAAAGATGTCCCATGTCCACGGCCACGCGGTCTGGACTCCTCCGCGCTGGAGCCTGTGGACAGAGAGGGCGGCTCTGCGCGGGTACCCCGCACGGGGAGGTATCCACAGGATCCTTCGTTCATGGGATCGCTCCCCAGAGTCCAGACCGCGAGGGCATGGACACGGACGTGTTCGTCGCTCGAGACGGGTGACAGTCTGAGTCCACCATGGCGCCCCTTGCCCTGCTGGCCGCGGTGCTCGTCGCCCCGACCGCCGCGACCTTCAACCTGTCGAACACGCTGGGCGACGGCATGGTTCTGCAGCGCGCCCCTCGGAGGGCCGTGGTCTGGGGTTTCGGCGACAGCGGCGCGAAGATTAGCACCCGCGTGGCGGGCCAGACCGCTTTGAACACCACCGTCGGGTCGGACGGCGTGTGGCGGCAGGCGCTGCAGCCGATGGCGGCAAGCGCAGCTCCAACCGACATCACCTTCACCGATGGCATCGTCACCATCACGCTGCATGGAGTTCTTTTCGGGGACGTCTACATGTGCAGCGGCCAGTCGAACATGCAGTACACTCCGCTCTCGATGGCCGGTATGAACAACTTGACGGCCGAGTTGGCGGCCGCAGACGCTTACAGAGGCACTATCAGGTTCTTCACTGTTGGAATGGAAACTGATTGTGGCCAAATCGATTGCAGCAAGCCCTTCTCAGAATTGGCTCACGGCCCCAGCATCCGCTCTAATATGTCAGCTCCATGCCGTCGTGGTCGCTCTTGTCGTGAGCTGTGGGAGCCAGCAGGCTCATCCAGTCTCGGGAGAGCTGCTTGGGACCATTTCAGTGCCGTGTGCTTCCTCACCGCGCGAAGAATTCATGATGAGCTGGGAGGAGAAGTCCCCCTCGGACTCATCTCCAGCAATTGGGGGGGTACGCCTGTGCAGTCATGGGAACCTAACACAGGAGTTCTCTACAACAGTATGATCGCTCCGTTTGCCGTTGGGCCAATGGCGCTCACAGGAGTTATGTGGTACCAAGGGGAAGCCAACGTTGGTGCTGCGGGGTACTATGCGAAGGCCTTCCCCGCGATGATCACTGGGTGGCGCCAGGCCTTCGCCAACCCTGCGCTGTGGTTCGGCTTTGTGCAGATTGCTGGCTTCGGCTACTCCCGCCCTTCAGTCCGCCAGCAGTGTGAACAAAGCCACAGCTGGGCAGCTGGTGACCTCCGACAGGCCCAGCTCGCAGCGCTGGCACTGCCCAATGTCGGGTTCACGACCGCGATCGACACAGGGGACTGGTCGAACATCCATCCTCCTGACAAGCAAAATCCTTCCTTGCGATTGGCAAATCAGGCTTTGGTTCAAGTCTATCACAAGACAGTTGCTGGCGCAGACTTCCCGGTGTACGCAGGCAGCTCGGTTGCTGTGAGTCAACGGAAAATCACAGTTAGGGTCGCAATCAGAGGGTCGCTAAGTGGTAAGCCTATCAAGATCACGTCTGCAGCGCCACTGGCGGCCACACAGTCCAGCACATTAGGCAAGCCAGGCTCTGTGCCTCGTAACATGTGTGTCACTATGCTCGGATACCCGCGGCTGCCGTGTGACTGCGGGTATCCGTACATCTACGGTAAGTTCGCCAATGGCACCACGCGCTTCCTTAACGCTACTGCTGCGATAGATGCTGATGGGACGTCGGTTGTTTTGACGGCTGCCACGCTGGGGGATCCTTTTGAGCCGACTGCGTCGAGCTATGGTCGTGCCTCGTGGCCCATGACGCTGTTCTTCGCAGAGGAGGGCGGGAACCCAGTCATTCCGTGGTATTCCAACTTCAGCAGCGCCGACCCGTGGCAGCCGCCGGAGCCAGGTGTTGCGGTGCTTGTCCCGGCGGTCGAGGAAGCAAACGGGCACGTCGAGTCTCCAGCCGTTTACATCTAGGGGCGGGCCAGTGGTGCTCCAACTGCGGCAGCGCCGACCCGTGGCAGCCGCTGGAGCCAGGTGTTGCCGTGCTTGTCTCGGCGGCTCAGGAAGCGAGCGGGTATCTCGAGTCTCCCGCCGTCTACGTTCAGGAGCAAGAGCCAGCTTCGCGAAGCTCCTCCGCAGGATGCTCCGTGCTGCCCGCCGTTTCCCGCGGAGCGGCCCAGCCTCGGCATTGAGGTCTCCAGACCTGGAAGCAGCGGCTCAAATCATTAAAGTGGAAGCCGAGGCATCCTCCTTCTCCTTCTTGCCGGCCAAGAGAAGCGACATACACACACATTTTCGGAGGTCGGCGAGGGTTTCCTGGATCTGCGCTGGGGCCTCCTGGCAGCGTCTCCGGCGCCGCCCCTGGCGCGTTCTGCGCGCCAGGGAGGAGGGGCGCCGTTCCAAGAACTCCACGCGGACCTCAGACAGTTTCTGCTTATGCTGTTTAATCGGAGGCCTCGAGGTTGACACCAGCACCAAGGTCGGCGGTGTGTCTCCACCAAGGGAAGAGATGCTCCCGATCTCGGCGATGGTGGTGATAATTCGGGCTTCCAGGGTGGCCGAACTGTTACCACCAACATCAAAATCTAGGAAGGATCATCTTACCCCTGAGGAGGATGGAGGAAGGAGGAGGAAGGAGGAGGAGGTGGAGGAGGAGGAGGAGGAGGAGGAGGAGGAGGAGGAGGTGGAGGGAGGAGGGAGGGAGAGGAGGGAGGAGGAGGGAGGAGGGGAGGAGGAGGAGGAGGAGGAGGAGGAGGAGGAGGAGGAGGGAGGAGGAGGGAGGAGGAGGGAGGAGGAGGAGGAGGAGGAGGAGGAGGAGGAGGAGGAGGAGGAGGAGGAGGAGGAGGAGGAGACAACCCCCTGTGTTGATGGTGGTGCCTGTTTCCAGGCCTCCGAGGTTTTCTCGTCTTCTGCCCTCCCTCTCCCCGTGGCCGCGGGGCGTGGGTAGGGTCCGACCGCCGTGCGCCAGTCCCCGGGGGAGCCCACGGTCAAGGCGCTGCAGCACGGACCCCTTTTGGTTTATTTTTTTGTTCTGGGTTTTGTTGCTCCTTTTTAGTGCAACAAAAAGAACAAACAAACTCTCCCCCCGCGCCCCCTCCTTGGGAACCAGGCCGGCTCACGTCCACCGCGGCGGAGCAGGGATCTGCACAAGGGTGCTCTGCCTGGGATGCCGTCGTCGACCAGGGGGGGGGGATGCCCTGGGATCCCAAGTATTTTTCGGGGGTTCTTGGGAGGTTGCCGTCCCTTGTGGACCTCCAGAGGGCTCCAAGGGACCGGGCCTCCAGAGGCCTCTGGCGACCTCGGGGAAATTTGTGCAGATGTTTTTTTCTGGGCGAATGCTTCCCGTCATGGGTGGCAATCGCTTCCTCCTTTCCCGTCGTCGTTGTTGTCGTCGTCGTCCTCCTCCTGCTCTCTCTCGTCCTCGTCCTCCTCACTGTACTATAATGTGCCGCACACGAGGCCAGGAGAAGGAAGGGTGGAGTCGGGATGGGGGGGAGGAGGCGCGGTCAGGCCGAGGTAGGAGGGAGGAAGGATGGAGTCGGGAGGAAGGGGGGAGTCGCGAGGAGGAAGGTGAGTCGGGAGGAGGACGGGCTACAGTCGGCCCAGATTAGTAGGTCGACCCTGCCAAATCAAGGGTACCCTGTGTCCTGTGTCTCCCGACCCACGCTTCCTACATTCCTGTGGCAACGTGGCCCTCGGAAGGGTCTTGTGTCCTCTCGCGTGACCTGTCCAATCGAGTCCGACTGTGGGGAGGCGTGGCCGGGCCGAAGCGGCCTGCTCATAGTTCCACTTCTGACCACTTCTGGTATCGGCTCGTGCTCTGGGAGGGACCTGGGCGCCCCTGGGCCCGAGGGAGTCTTCGTCGTCGTCGTCGTCGACGTCGTCGCCTTCGTTGTCTTCTTCCTCTTCATCTCAGGAGCGAAGAAACACAGACACAATCAAACGTCGATTTTCAGGGAAACATTGAGCACATGGAAATGGAGGGGAAGACGAACACCTTGAAATCACGGAGAAAGGGGATACTGGGATTTGTGTCTATTCATTTATGTGTCCCTGGGCCCCTTCACCATCCTCCTCTCGTCGTCGTCCGTGTCCTCCTTGTGTCCCCAGCCCAAGACGGCGTGGTGTTCGCAATCCACTATGACGTTCACAGGTCGCCATGCCAGATCCCTACAGGGATCTGCTATTTGAATTGACCTTATATTATTTTCGGCTCTCTTAGACGGCGTCCGCGCGACCTTTTATGCTAACAGGGGGGGAAGGGGGCGTGGCTGGTAAGGAGCGTTCTCGCGAAGCATAAAACAGGTTCGAGGCAATCTCTTTGATACATCTTGGGTTTACTCTAGTCCTCTTCCTCCTCCCCATGCCCGGTCCCCCTCCCCCTTCCTCCTCCCCCTCCTCCTTCCCCTCCCTCCTTCCCGTGCTCCCTCTCCCACTCCTCTTCCTCCTCTTCCTTCTCCCCCTCCCCCTTCCCTTCCCTCTCTCCCTCATCCCCTTCCTCGTCTTCCTTCTCCCCCTCCCCCTTCCCCCTCCCCCCCCCCCCCTTCTCTCCCTCCACCCGCGTCAGCAGCCCCCCCCAGACATATGGCGTCTCTTTTGCCCCAAGCAGCTGCCGGGGTGCTGCTGTTGGGCGCGTTCCGCCCGAGGGACTTCCGCAACGGGACGTCCTCGAAGAAATGAGGTGGTCCAGGCCGTTTCGCCTGAGATGTCCTCACAACTCTCGTTTCCGAGTTGGCTGCGATTGGGCGTTTCGCTTGAGACATCGTCGCAACCCCGAGTTCCGAGGTGCCGCGCGAGAGGTGGTCCAGGGCGTTTCGCTTGAGACATCCTCGCACCGAGGTGCTCCGCGAGAGGTGGCCAGGCTGTTTTGCCTGAGACATCCGCGCAACTCTGAGCTCCGAGGTGCCGCGCGAGAGGTGGTCTGGCGCTTTATGCCTGAGACATCCGCGCAACCCTGAGCTCCGAGGTGCCGCGCGCGAGGTGGTTCAGCGCGTTTCGCTTGAGACACCCTCGCAACTCTGAGCTCCGAGGTGCCGCGCGAGAGGTGGTTCAGCGCGTTTCGCCTGAGACATCCTCGCAACTCTGAGCTCCGAGGTGCTCCGCGAGAGGTCGTCTGGCGCGTTTCGCCTGAGAAATGTTCGCAACTCTGAGCTCCGAGATGCCGCGCGAGAGGTGGTCCAGATGTTTCGCCTGAGACATGGTCGCAACCCTGAGTTCCGAGGTGCCGCGCGCGAGGTGGTCCAGTGCGTTTCGCTTGAGACATCCTCCCAACTCTCGGCTCCGAGATGCTGCGCGCGAGAGGTGGGTCAGCCCGTTTCACCTGAGAAATCCGCGCAATTCTTGGCTTTGAGAAGATTTGCGCAAGGTGGCCTGGCCCGTTTTGCCAGAGACCTCATCGCAATTTGGGGCTCCGAGATGCTGCTTGAGAGG